CACTGACCACCATTGACTACAGTGTCACATGTCTGGCTGAGCTAGGCTCCTCCATGCTTCTTATTCCTGGCCAAACAGCCTCAGGAAAGTTACTGTGGCCATGAGGGTCAAGTTCAAGTTCTGACTTCCCTGAAATCATTCCTCAGTGAGCAGCTACGCTGGACTTTCTTTTTTTGCCTCTTGATGAGGACTTTGAGCCAAGGAATCTGAAAGCCCTTTGGCCTTGATTCTTGCTTCTAATGTTTATATTTCCAATATATTTCAACAAATTATCACTCGAGTGTTCCTGCGTGCCTTTTGTTCGGGGGAGTATAGATTTTGTGCTCTATGGGTATGGAATTTTAAAAATTTGAAATCAGAATGCCTGGGCAAGTGACTTAACCATGTGCCTCAGTTTCCTCTTCTGAACAATGGGCCTAATAAAAGTTCTTTCCTCATAGGGTTTTTCTGAGGTTAGTGAGTTGATACGTGTAACACTCTAACAGTGGCACCTGGGACCTGATAGTGTTCATAAGGGTCAGTGATTAGGCAGCTTTTTCAAGCCCACATTCAGTACTATCTGGATGAGAGACATTGAAAAGATATAAAATTGAAAACAGGAGAAATTTGAAAAGAGGGACACAGGAGGGGTATTTAGATACATATCCTGCATTCCTTCTTCACAGCATACATATCATAACATAAGACTAGATCAGAAAATATCAATCACTCTATCGGCTGCTTTCTTCCTGACTTAAATTGTCCCACATCCCATGTTCAAGATGATTAAGCCAAAATTTCTGGACCTGCTATTCAAAGCTTTTGATGTGGCTCCTTCATGCTTTTTTCCAGCCTTGACTTTTGCTATTTCCCCTCTGTCCTGTGATCCAGCTGTACTGAATGCAGTGCAGCCGGGAGACTCAGTCTCAGCAAGGATGGCTGTGCCCTGCACAACTCCAGCACAGCTCTGGCCTTAACCCATGCTTTTCCCTGACATGTCTTCTCACCTTTCAAGGATATAGTGGGCATTGCCAATTGCCTCCTTACTCCCCTTTCCATTCCTAAAGGGGTGTAGCATTTCCCAGCAATTGGCTTGAGTAGTCCCAACCTAATCTCCAGCTTCTGGGGCCCTAAGCCTCTCACACTCCTTGGCTGTCACCCCTGGTTCAGGGGCAGTTGCTGACTTAAGAGGCTGTAGTCAGAGTGTAGCTGGGATTGCTCCTGGCCTCCTGGGAGGTGGGTGAGGAAGCTGTGGCTCTGGGGCTGCCAGCAGCCATGTACACCTAGTTTATGTCCACTGAGAGCCCCTCGGTGGCAGAGTTGGTTCCAAGTGCTTGACCTATATGAGGTAGGTACCATGATCATCCCCATATTACCAACAAGGAAACCAAGGTGAAAGGACACCTGGTTAGTAAGTGGCGGAGTCAGAATTTAAACCCAGGCTCAAACACTAGGCTGGACATTTAGCCTCCTTCAGGGAAACTGGGCTCAGGACAAAGGCACACACAGGCGGAGGCTTAAGAAAACCACGTTGAAATGCAGCCATAGCTTGATGATACTGTGAACCCCTGGATCACACTGTACTTGAAGCCTTTACTATTGCTGGACTTTCCAGTATGGATGCCATTACATATTCTTCAGCGTTTTAGCTCATTTGAAATAGATTTTTTGTCATTGGCAACAGATACCCTAATGGATGCAAAGGTTTAGCTCAGGGTCCTCTCCTCCAGGAATACATTCTTGAAGGCCCTCCCTGGCCCTTCTAACCTCACCATCAGAGCATCTTTGCAGAGCTGTGTCTGCTCAGCTTGCTCCGTCTGCCTCGGCCATGAGCACCTACAACACTGTAGGATCTGGCTCCTGCACCCTCCTCACCCTGCCCTGTTCTTTTCTGCATATGCTCACACCCCTCTGCCAGTTGCACCCAGCTGGGCTGGCATGGCCTCTGGGAACTCTCACAAGCCCACACTGCCTGGGCAATAGCCAGGCTGAGCTGGGAGAGGTGGATCCTGCGCAGCAAGGGCTGATGGGCCCACATCCCTGGGCAGCATAGGGTCTGGCCTCAGATGCCCAAAATAACTTTCTTTTTCTTTTTTTTAATCCTCACCAGAGGATATTTTTTCCATTGCTTTCCAGAGAGAGTGGAAGGGAGAGAGAGGAAAAACATCGATGTGAGAGAGACACATCAATTGGTTGCTTCCTGCACGAACCCTGACCAGGGCCAGGGATCAAGCCTGCAACTGAACTACGTGCCCTTGACTGGAATCGAACCTGAGACCCTTCAGTTCACGGGCCAATGCTCCAACCATTGAGCCAAACAGGCCAGGGCAAAAACACCTTCCTTAGGCGTGCACTTCCAACTAAATCTCCCCGGTGCTGGCCGGGACAGCAGTCTCCCCTCTCCTTTTCCTTCATGAGACCTTGATGATCTCTCAGCCTCGCTCTCACCTCCTCTCGCCCAGAAAGCCTCTGTCGGCCATTCTGCGCCAGGCGCACGCCTCCTCCCGAGTCCCCAGCTCTCCCAGGAGCGCTGCCCGCTGCGGCTGGCACCAGGTACTCACACCCGCTGGCCCCTTGTTCTCCTTGGGACAGCCCAGGGAGGTGGTCTGCACAGACTTCCACTTGGTGTGTTTGAGGAAACTGAGGCTAAGGAGGTTAAATAACAAGCACCAAGTACCTAGAGACAGTCAGGATTAGCGACCAGCTTTCAAGACGGCCACCGCTGTGATTTAAAATTTAATAACAAAAGAATCAACTTTAACTGCTGCTCCTGTTGTTGTTGCTATTACTACCTCCACAACTATCACCACCATTATTCTAACCACCACTCACCACCCCCATCATAACCACCCCCACCACTGCCACCACCACCACCACCATGGCTGCCACCACGACCACAACTACCACCACGACAACTACCACCACAGCTACCACCACAACCACCACCACCACCACCACTACCACCACCACGGCTGCCACCACAACCACAACTACCACCACAGCTACCACCACCACCACCACCACGGCTGCCACCACGACCACAACTACCACCACCACTGCCACCACCACAACCACCACGGCTGCCACCACAACCACAACTACCACCACAACCACCACAACCACCACAACAACTACCACCACAGCTACCACCACAACCACCACCACCACCACGGCTGCCACCACGACCACAACTACCACCACGACAACTACCACCACAACTACCACCACGACAACTACNGCCACCACAACCACAACTACCACCACAGCTACCACCACAACCACCACCACCACCACCACGGCTGCCACCACGACCACAACTACCACCACCACTGCCACCACCACAACCACCACGGCTGCCACCACAACCACAACTACCACCACAACCACCACAACCACCACAACAACTACCACCACAGCTACCACCACAACCACCACCACCACCACCGCTACCACCACCACGGCTACCACCACAACCACAACTACCACCACAGCTACCACCACCACCACCACCACGGCTGCCACCACGACCACAACTACCACCACCACTGCCACCACCACAACCACCACGGCTGCCACCACAACCACAACTACCACCACAACCACCACAACCACCACAACAACTACCACCACAGCTACCACCACAACCACCACCACCACCACCACTGCCACCACGACCACAACTACCACCACGACAACTACCACCACAACTACCACCACGACAACTACCAGCACAACTACCACCACGACAACTACCAGCACAACTATCATCACTACTACTACCACCACAGCTACTACCATGACCACAACCACCACCACAACTACCACCACCACTGCTACCACCACAACCACTACCAACACCAACACTACTACCACCATAACTAACACCACAATTACCACCACAGCTACCACTACCACTACTGCTACCAAATGGCTACTATGACCACCACCATAGCTGCCACCACTCCACCCCCCACTACTACTATGGAAGCATCAGCAGCAGGGGCCAGTCCCATGTGAATCTCTTAGGTAGACCTCCCCCCACGTCAGGGACGGGGACTAAGGACAAGGTAGGTGATGTGTCCATCTTATAGATCAAGACCCCGAGGCCCAGAAAGCCAAGCAACTTCCTAGGATGCCAGAGCAGGGGACACACCATTCTCCCCTCCCCAGAGTCACGCCAGGGCCCGAGAAGATAAGAAGGGGTGTTCTTTCTCCCCAGGAGATGAAGACCACACATGTCAGGGCTCAAAGACACTGGCCTGGGACTCTTGCTACACGGAGGGCAGCTCAGCCTCTGGAGACCCAAAGCTGGCTGGCCTGCTGTATGCACCTCCTTGTCAGGCAAGCCTCAGAGATCAGCATCACAAGTAAACAGGAGCCCACCCTTGTTCGCAGGGTCCTGGGGCTTACTGTGAAATCCGGATCCCCAAGCCCCCAGTTCACCTGCAGTGAGGCTGGCCTTTGCCTGAAGCTGTGGAAAGATGGGTGACTTGCACGGCCCTCCACTCCAGGGGCCTCCACGCCACTGGATTCTGTGATGGGCTCTAATCAGGTCTCTTTTTTATCAAGGGCAAGAGAAACTGGCTCACAAATTGGGCCAAGAAGCAAACACAGATGCCCTGGGGAGCTTGTTAAAAATCAAAGATACCCAGGCCCCGAGTGCCCCTCCCCACCTCTGGATTCTGACACAGCAGGTCTGGCATATAGACGGGAACCCCTGTGATTCTGTTGTTCAGGTAGATGTTCACCCCACGAGCCCAACCAACGTGGAGGAGACGGAGGCCCGAAGATGACATGCTGGCCCCTGGCCCTATAAAAGCCCGATGAGCTTCCCATAACCCTGTCCCTTAGGGACCTTCCTCTTCCTCACTTTGTGGTTTGAGGATCCATTGCCCAAAGAGAGAAAGGAAGTTGGTCAAGGTCTCTGACAAATCTACCCCAGGACTGGGAGCAGGACCCCGGGGGGCCAGTGCCCCAGGGACCTGCCCCCCAGTTCCCACAGCCCGGCGCAGTCCTCTCACCCATATGCCCACGGCCACATTCAAGGCGAAGTACACGGCGATGACGACGATGTCAGCCAAGCTCAGCTGCGAGCTCGGGGTGTGGGGGTCGCTGGTGGAGTTGTCCACTGCCATCCCGCAGCAGCTGCCTTCTCCGGGCCGAAGGGAATGGGGGCCAAACTGGATCAAATAGGACTTCCAGGCAGGGATAAATTGATCATTAAACCGAGCAAGCCCATGGCATCTCTAGCCCATGGGTGGGGTGTGGCTGTGCAGGGAAACTGCTTCAAAGTGCGGCCGGCTCCCCCGCCCCCACCCCTCCCCCTTGGGGAGAACTGAGAGAGAGGGAGGAGGAAGGAGCCTCCTTAAATTCAGAGGGAGGTTTTGAAAAATAAAGAAGGTTTAATGGATCCAAAGGCAACCAGAATAGCCCCAGAAAGGATTTAGTTACCTAATGGGTAGCTCAACTTATATTCAATTCCTGTAAGAAGCATGAAGGGCCCTGGCCTGTGTGGCTCAGTGGTTAGAGCACCGGCGAGCGCACTGAAGGGTTGCAGGTTCGATTCCCAGTCAAGGGCACATATGTCAGTTGCAGGTTTGATCCCTGGCCCCAGTCAGGGCTCATGTGGCGGCAACCATTTGATGTGTTTCTCACATTGATGTTTCCTTCTCTCCCCCTCCCCCACTCTCTCTAAAAAGCAATGGAAAAAAAGTCTTCAGGTGAGGATTTTTTTTAAAAAAAGGAGCATGGAGAGTTGGGGACAGATGCCTCACCTCTGAACACACCACCTGGACAAGCAGCTGCATCCTTTTGCAGCCAATGGGCTGTGAGTGCAGCAAGAAGGACCTGGGACTTCCAGCCACACAGTCCTGGCCCCATGTTGGGCAATAAAGATCCGTCACCAAATATTCTCTTTCTAGACCAGTGAGACTTTTCACCATCTTTTGGGTCCCCGTGGTCTTCTTAGGACTGTGGAGGGACCATCTGATGTCTAACAAGCACCCGCCTGAGGCTGCGGACAGTGCTTAGATTTCTGTACACTGTTCCTTTTTGTGCTCGGCAGCCCACGCAAGTGATGTCACATCACAGTCAGGAACAGAGGCCAGGGGGCTGAGCCACCTGTCATTCACTGCCACGTAAGAGACAAGGCTGGGATTTAGTTCCAGATCTGACCCCAGGTCCCCCTTGTCGGTGGCAGCGATGGCTTGGGTTCCATCAGATGCCATCGGGTCCTTCCGCCTTGATATTCGGTCACTGATTAAATCAGTGTGCAGCCGAGCAGGTATCTCAGTGACATGGCCTGTGGATTTGCAATGCATTTGGAGTTTAACCAGGACACTTAGCCCTTCCAGAAGTGTTCACGGGTGAACAGCTGCTGCTGGGAACACGCTGGCTGGCAAACCCACTGTGCCTGTTATTTAGTAACGGGGTAGAGGGTTTAAAATTAATCCCCTCGCGTGTAGGACTAGACAGAGGAGAAAAAATTAAGCCACTGCTTATAGTAAACTCAGGAAGGCTCAGACTGCTCCCTCCCCAACTCCCTTTGCCTTCAACGCACTAACCTCTCCCTCAGGTGGCATTTACTGCCTGAGCCATTGCTAGAAGTGTATCATAAATCAAGAGGCCACTTAGCACCTATCAGGATGATTCAGATTTATTAAACCTGTCTCTTGAAAATAAAGCAATTGAAAAAAATAGTGCCCTGACCAGTGTGGCTCAGTTGGTTGTAGCACTGTCCTATGAGCCAGAAAATCACAGGTTTGATTCCTGGGGCACATACCTAGGTTGCAGGTTTGATCCTCGGTCAGATGCATACAGGAGGCAACTGCCCAATGTATCACTGTGGCATCAATGTTTCTCTCTCTCTCCCCCTGCACCCCCTCCCTCTCTAAAATAATACATAAATAATTAAACAGTATTCGATCCCCTTTCCTCAGCCTGTCTCTCAGAAGGAAGTAAACCATTTAGAGACAACATGCCCACCCCCTTCTGATCAAAAGTCCTAGACAGAGGGTCAGGAGGAACTGATGCATGGAGCCAGGTCCAGAGTGGCAGCGGAAGGCACGAGGGAGAAATTCCACATTCAAGCCCAGTCATATTCTACATTCCCACCCCACCCGACCCAACATGACCACACTCACAGATCCAACTCTTCTGGCCCAACTCACCCAGAACAGTAATGCCAGGGATCTGCCCAGCCAAGAAGCCAACCATGTCACACCCTGTGAGCTGCCTCCATCCCAAGAGAAAGCACCTATGTTGTGTTTTTAAACACCACTCCAACACCTAATGTGTGGGGTTTTCTATACCCACCAATTCTCCATCTCTAATTACCCAGTAGGAAGACTCATTAAGGCTCTCAATGAAAGCTTAAAAGGCTATGAATGAGCTGTGGAAACAAAAAAATTCACAGCCCCAATTCAAGGAATTATATATGTAGTGTCCCAAATAATTATTTAAACAGGAGAAAGAGAAACCCAGTGACAGAAGATAAGGTGTGGCATGACAAGAATAAAGTTTTAAAAAATGGTGTAATAAATGCTGTAAATAGAGGACCAGGAGTTACAGTGTGAGTAGAGAAATGTGCTGCGGATGTTTTTACCCCATGTCCTGAGGGTGGCCTTACCAACAATCAGGGCAACAGATACCCTGAGGATGGATTTACCCAGCCACCCAGGTGTCACTTGGGGATGGTTGTGTGTTTGGTGACTTTGTGTCCAGAGGGCAGGCTTACCTTCCATCTCAGCATTGACGAGGTACATTTTGACTAAGGATTTACTCCACAGCTGACAGGTAGGTTTCCCACACACCAACAATGAGAAGTAACAGGAAAGATGAATTAGGACAGTAGAGAAGAGAAAACACGTCTAAGTCCCATCTGGGGTGCCGAACTGTTACCAAATGGGGTCTAGGCCCAGAGTGGATCTGCCTCAGGCCAGGTGGTAGTGTGTAGGTCCCTGACTTTCTGTGAGAAAGATTTCACAATACGAGTCCAGGTAATTTTGAGAGTATGTTTATTAAAGCTGGGGACAGTGAAACAAAGGAAAGGCTTAAGGTAGAAGAAGCAACAGAAAAGAGAAAGTCAGAGAAAAAGGGAGCTTTGGAGACAGCTTCAGGGGATAAGCCTGGGATGAGCTGCCACTGCCCGCTGCTCCCCTGGTTGCAAGTATCATGGGGATCCTTAGAGGTTAGGAGAAAATATACAAGGCATGGGTGTTCTCTACCAAGATCATGCCATGGGTCCTTTGTCTTAAGGCTTTTTATTTTTCCTTGGCCATGGGGATCCTAGGGCAGATCTTAACAGGATATTCATTAGCTTTTCAGGTGTGTCCTTCAATATGTTGATTCATCAAAATTTGCATATAGAGGAGTCAGGGGTTATTTTCTAGCTAGTTTTATATTCAAAGAACATCATTGAAGAGGGACCAGGACCTACGCCATTCTGTCCTGGATGATATGGAATGTGTAAACCATTTGCTCCTAAGTGTCCTTGGTTAGGGAAGATAAAACACTGTGATTCATTAGCTGGCTGTAAATTGCTCAAATTGTTTGGCCTTGTATAATTATTTTGCCTCAGTTTCCCTTATTCCACCTGTCAAGGAATTCCTCTAGCTTCTTACTATCATTTCTCAACATGGTTCATGGCAGTCTTTTCAGGTAAGGAATGAAGGTTGCTTTTCTGAGAGATGGCAAGGAAGGAACCTCTAGACACTTTGGGGGACCTCAAGAACTTGAGGAATTTTCCCAAACCTATTGGTATTGCAGCCAAAGCCTGATATAAACTGTGTGGCTTGGCTTATTTGACCCGAGGGCCTGATTAAACCTCAAGCTGGAGATTCCTTATGAGAGTTCAGCAAAGCAGATTTAAAAGAGTCCATGTAATCAATTGCTGTTCTTGTGTGTATGAAAATAATCAGGCCAAACTGAACCTGAACTCAATGCAGTCTCTTTAATGAAAATAAGGGTAATTTTAGGGAGAGAAATTGTGTTTCAATAGAAATCACAATGCCCGCCCTGCCAGCGTGGCTCAGTGGTTGAGCATTGACCCATGAACCAGGAGATCACAGTTCAATTCTCAGTCAGGTCACGTGCCTGGGTTGCTGGCTCGATCCCCAGCAGGGGCTATGCAGGAGGCAGCCGATCAATGACTTTCTCTCATCATTGATGCTTCTATCTCTCTCTCCCTCTCCCTTCCTCTCTGAAATCAATAAAAAAATATATTTTTTCAAAAAAAGAAATCACAATCCCCAGTTGTGGACATTGAGCTCTAGTGCAGTTAACTGTCTTTAAAGTTTTATTTTTTACCTACGAACTGAACTGATTCCTGAATTCTTCTAGTTTTCTTTAACCCTCCAAATTAATGTTTCATTTTCCTCCCATCTTTGGACTAGGAATTATTGAGAACTAAAACTTTTTTCTAAGGCTGCAACTGTATACACCATACAGAATTTACTCAGCACCTGATGACATCACCAGAGATGTTCAAACTGCAGACAAAGAGGATCTGGCAGATTGTCCTGCTTGGTTTCATTCCAGCAAAAGCCTTGCATCTGAAAGTCTTCTCAACTGATAGTCTTGCAGACTCAGAAAATGGTTTATGATTTGCTGTGCTCATTAACTTTTATGTTTTTTCCCCGTCTGTTTTCATAGGATATATCCTTATGACCTTACTTACCTAATTGCTTGTTTACACTGTATAGGTCTCACTTGAGAAGCCTTGGGACACCAGAACCCCACTGAGCAACTGGTAGAAATAGCTGTCAGTGTTTGTAACAACCGAGACAGGGCAGAAGTAAAGCAAAAAACCACCAGATAGAAACAAAAGGCTCACTTGTTAGAGCAGCTTTAAGTCCTACACCCACCTCAGGGTCGGCCAGCCCCTGGACTACAACAGACATCAAAGGGGCAGTGCTGTTCCTGCAGACAAGAGAGGTACATAAAGAAGCGTCCACAACCAGCTCAGGCTCAGCTGCCTCCAGGACCAGGCCCTCTCTGCGAGAGGGAGGCATGGGAAAAGCCAGTGTCCCAGGTTCCAAAAGAAACCTAGTGCCTCCAAACCAATGACGGCCAAACTCCCCAAGAATTGACGGTGCCTGAGGCCTCCCACCGCCCCCACCAACCATCTGACCATCAT